CAATTACTGCAGGAAAAAGAAAGAACAACAAAAAAAAGGAAACAACAAAAATAAACCAAAACAAAACATACACTTCCAGGAACACACTTTGTCGGCAGATGTGCCACGAACAAAAGCCGGGTGAACAAAGGCCGGGCTAACAATAAAACCAGGCGAACAATGGCCGGGCGATTGAGTGGTCGATGAGCACGTCCGCAGGCGGCGGGTGCTTCTGTCGGACTGTACCCCGAACCCTGGTATAGTCAGATGTATTTAGGCTTGGTTTAATTAAATGTCCCTGCAATATATTTCTTGAACTCATAAATAATTATCATTTCAACAAAAACAGATTTTGTGTGCATTACATTAACATTTTTTGAACTACGTAACGAATTTAGGAATTAATAATTTTATTATAAAACTAGCTGACCCGGCAGACTTCGTAGTGCCTCAGCCGATAAATAAAAGACCTAAACTTTTGTATAAAATAAACTTAAAACAAACAAAAGGAATCCATCCGACGGGGTACACATCAAAGGAAAAAGATCATTGTTATTTTTATTTAATTTCAAGCATTTTCATATTTATCTAGCTTTTAAACTTTCTTTGGACTTCCACAAATAATTCAAGGCCAAAATTAGCCAAATCGGTCCAGCCGTTCTCGAGTTTTAGCGAGACTAACGAACAGCAATTCATTTTTATATATTACTAGCTGCAAACATTGTTTTGCTATATATAAGATTTGTAGGGAATTTGTAGTGTAGAAAAAAAATCTAACTTATTGTAAGTGTGTAAGGATGTGGTAAATGAGTGAAAGAGGTATGTAGTGCTGTGAACGATGAGGGAATATATAATAAAAATAACAAAACCTCATTCAACCACATAATACCTCATTATAACAAAAAAAATGTCCAAATAAAAAAAATATGTTAGGGGTGGACAACCCTAATCACTTAGGGGTATGAAAAATAGATAGTAGCCGATTCTCAGGCTTACTGAATATGCATAAAAAAATTCATGAGAATCGGTCAAGCGGTTTCGGAGGAGTATGGGAACGAACATTGTGACACGAGAATTTTATATATTAGATATAGATACAAGTATCATAACTATCTCTTAATGCATGATAATGAATATTATCATTTTAACACGAAAGTCGTACTCCTAAAATATTCTTAAAGATAATTAGAAATCACTAAAATTTCAATGTGCTTGTTAATATTCAATATCACTAAAAATAACTGAATTTATTAAAAACGCGCTAATCGTAATTGGCCGTTTCATTCAATTCACTGACATTTTTTTGTTGAAGTATTGTTGAAGTTTGTTGAAGTTTTCAATATTTTTTTGATCTACAATATATAATACTAAGAAATAATTAGACAGTATAAACGCACTTGTAAACAAAACGCTAGTAAATATGGCCATTGCCAGCTGACTGACAAAACCGGCGCATGCGCAATGTAGGCGGAAGGTGATGGTTTGCTAGATATAAAATAATTAATAATTGGGAATTTAATTGTTTTTATGATCAATCACCAATAGTCGTCAAAATGAATTAATCTCAGCGATAAAAATAAAGATATCTAGTACGAAGGGGCAACCTACGGGTGATCATTTACTTAATTAATTATAAATAAATAAAAGACTAACAAACAATTTTTAAATCCGAACATTAACGAACAAAAAATTAAAAATAAAAAAAGTCTGAAAATCAAAAAAGGTGGCGTGAGGTGATGATGGTTTGCTTATTAGATATAAAATAATTAACAATTGGGAATTAAATTGTTTTTATGGTCGAACAATCACCAATAGTCAAAATGAATTAATCTCAGCGATAAAAATAAAGATATCTAGTAAGAAGGGGCAACCTACGGGTGATCATTTGTTTAATTAATTATAAATAAATAAAAGATGAATAAACAATTTTCACATCCGAACATTAACGAACAAATGATTAAAAATAAAAAACATCTGAAAATCAAAAAAGGTGGCGGGAGGTGATGATAGTTTGCTTAATAGATAATAAAATAATTAATAATTGGGAATTTAATTGTTTTTATGGTCGAAAAATCACCAATAGTCGTCGAACAAACGATAATTGATCAAAGTGAATTAATCTGAGCGATAAAAATAAAGATATCTAGTAAGAGGGGCCCACTTAACGGTGATCATTTGTTTAATTAATTATAAATAAATAAAAGACGGACAAACAATTTTTACACTCGAACATTAACGAACAAACCACGAACAAATAATTAAAAATAAAAAAATCCGAAAATAAAAAAGGGGGGCTAAATTTACAGAGCCCTCTCAACTGTGTGGATTGTCAAACTATGGTACCTACTAGTCTAGTCTGTGATAAAGGCAGAGTTCGGCCAAAAAAGATTAAACTTGGAATCAATTTTAATCGATGCCCGATGAATCGATTCACTATAAAATCAAAGTTATGAAGGTAGTTTTTTTTTTAATATTTTTTTTTTATTGCTAGGTGAGTGAACGAGCTCACAGCCCACCTGGTGCTAAGTGGTTACTGGAGTCCATAGACATTTACGACGTTTTGCGCCACCCACCTTGAGATATAAGTTCTAAGGTCTCAAGTACTCTCAAGTATAGTTACATAAGTTACATAAGTAAATTTATGGAATCGTTCTTTTTTTTTCGAAGTGTTGTGATACTACAGACGGTCGAATTTATGTGTAATAATACAGACGTAAAAATTAATGATTACGAGACAAAATGACTGCAATTGAGGAAACCTCAACCAAAGTAATTCAAAACACAAATAATTTTCACACATTTTTTTTGTTTATGTCTGTTGATAAGGGGGAATGGGACTTGGCTTAAGAGTAATCTCCAAGCGCTTGAGGTACTCATACATGAATGTATTGGATTGACGTAAACTGAAGAAAAAACACGTTCTATAGAGTTGGTGACAATTTTTTTGGCGGAATCGCAAGGAATGAAGTGATATGATTTTTCTTTTTTTTTATTAGATGCTTAATGAGAGTCAAATATGTTTTAACTGTAAATTAATGAAGACTAGAAACATTGAAACTCCACGAAAAAGATAAAAAGAAACGAAACCGATGGACATGGCTCTTTCAATACAGTCAAGTTGGATAACTTTGAATTTCCGTTTGAATAAAAGCTGTTTGAAGATTTTTTTCTTTTTTTTTCAAACTCTTTTTTGTATAATTACTTGAATAATTATATGAAACGAAACGTTGAGATGATCAAAATGTCAAATGTGTCATAAAATTGTGAGTTGTGAATAAGTTTTTAAAACTTTGGCGCCTTTTCTGTTCGCGGTGATCAACAAGAAACAAGTGTGGCAGAAATCTGAATTAAATATAGAAAAGGTATGTAAAATACTGTTTTTTTAGTTTCTGGAGGTAAAATATTTATTCAACTTGCCATTTTTCTAATAATTTCGTGATTTTACAATGTTTTTTGCCCATCATTGATTGTCTCACAGATCATTGTAAATTTATTTGAATTTGGTGTAACTTTGAATGATTCAATCTTACCTAATTGCCAATTTTATTTAAGGGTAACTTTGACATATTGAGTTGCAATTTATTATCCTTTTTTTCTACTGTTACAGGTTAATAAAATGCCACCAAAAGCAAACATGATTAAGCCTGGTGTGCGTAAATAGGCGTAAAATCAAATTATACCCCAGGTATTTTAGAGGAAGCCCTAGATAAAATCCGATCCATTGAAAGAGTAAGCTCTAACAATGTCACCATTAATGTTTTCAAAAAATGTTTTGGGGGCTGGACGAGGTATTAAAAAAGTGAACGGTGTGGTGTAAAGGAGGAGAACATAATATCTTTACTAAAAGGACATCAATTAACAAGAAGGGATGGAAAGCTTTTCATAGATGATGATATTTTGTTCATGGAATGGGGTGAATGATTTTATCAATAAAATTTTGCTTACCTGTAACCTATGATCTTATCAGTCTTTGTTTATCTCATTTGATAGATAAATAAGTGAAAAATTTTATGTATCTGCTTGATTCTTAATAAATATATCATATATTATTAAAAAACCATGTGTTTCTGTTAAGCTTTTTTGGCCTATTCGGAGTAAATATTTGGGGCAAGGCATCCCCAGTGAATGGCAATTTGATGCCGTTGACACTCATTTTATTTTGACACCTCTACATATATTTTAATCTAAATAAAAGTAAAATGTTACCCAAATCAAATATTAATTAGTGAAATATTATAGAGGTTTTTCACTGTCCCAGATAACTCAATTCAAAGTTATCCAAAAGTCGTTGTAACTTTGAATAACCACTAAAGCATCAATTTCTAAACCTTTTCTGTATTAATACATCATATTGGTTAGATAATTTAAATTTTGGAAATCAAAGAACACTTACCACACTGTATAAAATAGTGCAACCAATACATTAATTTTATTTTTAGTGTACTTAAAAATCTGCGAAAAGTGTTCAAAGTTACCCAACTTGACTGTAATGAATTCCTTGAAGTCTCAGTGATTTCCCACCGCTTACTCACTTAGATTATATTTCACTTCATTTATTCTTATTTTGTTTTATTCAATTTCAAACAAATCGATTCCATGCTATACCGCTCCTTTTTTATTTCTCCACCAAATTAAGCAAAGTGTGTATAGCGTTAAATCCTATACTGGCAGTACTGTTTTCTTAAAATGTCGATTGTCATAGTGAAAAGAGAAACGTTTGTTATTAATGAAGTGAAAATATTTTTTTGCGTGTTTGGTTTTAAAATCGATTATTTTTGTTGAGAAGTTCAGTTTTCGATTAATCGGTCTCACGCAATTTAACATCTCTTTACCTGCCTACAGTTTGTGCCTTCTGTGGCAATGTTAATAGTTAATATCTCAAAATTCTCAAATATATTAAGTGTATAATCTATGAGTTAATAGTACACAAAGCCGGCGGTGTAATACTTAATCAGTAGCAGTCAGTGATTGCTATTATATTTCACAAATGCTACCTATATTTATTTTGATTTAATTAGTTTAAAATTTTAGAAAGACTTGCTTAATTAAATACTTAATTGCTGTGATTCAAATTTGTGTTTAATTTAAATTTGTTCATCGACAAAACACGAATGTAAATTTGGTTTTCTAATTAAAAACGTGACTTAAAACAAAAACTAAAAGGCGATGTTTGATATTTGTATTATCACCTGAGGCAGATAAACACGGAAACGTGACGTGATCAGTCTCATTTGGCAAAACCATTACAGTTCGTACACATCGTTTTGGGGGGCAGTAGGTATCTTTCCGAAGGTATTATAATGGACAAATTATGTACGAGAATATTTGGATATACAAAATTTCTGTGGTCTAAATCAAACCGATGGCATAAAGGTAAGAATTTTTTCTAAAAACAAATGCTTAGAACCTTTCAATAAAAATTTTGTGGAAATAATAAATAATGCAACAAACAACAAATAATGAAAAAAATATTAGTTAGGATATTCCGCGCAACAACTATCTCCCGAATAGGCTGGTCCTGCTGTAACTTAGATATAATTTTTTTATTTTTTTTATTTAAGTATTTTGGTCTGACCTTTGATCACTTTCCAGTTACGAAAATTTAATAGAAAGCCCTATTATTAAAATGTGTTGTCTGTTTCATATTCATAAACAATTAATCTATGTGCTCCACTAGTATTCTTTTATAGTTTTATATATATATATATGCATGTGTAAGCCACATTTGTTGACTAACTATACTAACTGACTAACTATTACTAAATAAATATCAACTTTATTTGCTTAAAATATACTACATTAATGAAGGGTACAGGTGCTTTTAACTATAAACTGTAGTATCAATAGCCTTCACGCACCTGTCCTGATGAAACTGGAAAGGCCTCCGGACTGTAATAGTTCACTACCTAGTTTATTACGGCTAAAGAAAATTGTACAATCGAGTGAAACTTAAAACAGTTCTTTAATTTGGTTGTCTATGGACTCCAGTAACCACTAAACACCAAGTGGGCTGTGAGCTCGTCCACCCATCTAAACAATAAAAAAAAAGGTAAATAATATTAGGCGCACGTAAACAATGACATAAAATCTATATCGACGCTTGAAAGGCAAACATGACTAAGCGACAATAACTGCTTTGTACAAAATGATAGGCAATAACCATATTCGATGCGCAAAAAAATATATATTTCTAGGTCTATTAAAATAATTTCAATCCTACAGATACTAGCTAGATTCTACTACAGCTAGATTCGTTAAAATAAATTTTGTTTTCAGGTATTTCAACTTTAAATTAGTCTACTGTAAAGTTCACGCATTGTCATCGTTGTTGTTAATAGAGTTCGTAGACTCCACAATGTGAATGTTTCCACCCACCTTCAAAGGAGGTTGTAGTTTCAATTTTACTTCTAAATCCTACCTATACTTAAAAGGCTATTTCAGCTTCACCCTAACGTGTAAGTGAGCTCACGGGGCTCAAACCAGAGTGTTGGTAACACTGGCCCCCTAGCAAGAGCAGTGCTTCTCAGAATCTACCACCGGATCGGAACCGCGACCCACTGAGAAGATCCGGCGAGAAACTCTGTGTCAATATTGGTTCATTTATAATATAGGTTAAACTTTTCATTATGGTCCGTCGATTTATGGGACAGGGAGGGTGGGTATCCCCTGTACCAGCCCCAACTTGTGGAACCCCATGGTTATGGAGATATCCATGGTGAATTTTTTATATTATATATCCCCAGTTTGAAATTATGTTGATAGAATGGCACAAATCTATGTGGGCTCACAATATATCATAGCACCAGTAAATGGGTAAACCTGCGACCTCTCACGTTCTGACAGGATATTAAAACATCAGTACAAAAACATTGTTAGCTTTTTTTTTTTTCTAATTCACACTTCTGTTCACAAATGTCCTGTATAACCTTGTATAGAACATTACATAATATAATTTTACGTGTGCATGTTATTTGCACTTTGTACTCCTTAGTCTGTTAGTGTTAATTGGCATTATTGAATACGGTACTAGGTTTCTCCCACGGCTTCTTTTGCGCCCGAGACAATTATGTGAATTGCCGTCGAAAACAAATACACAAAAAAAATACTTTCATTAAAATGTTACTTCATTAGTAATGTCGATTGCAAACGTTAACGTAATCTTTTAAGTCCGTTTTTTTTATTGCCCTTGTAGGCAGACGAGCGTACGGCCCACGTGATGGTGAGTGGTTACCGTCGCCCATAGACTTTTAGCAATGCCAGGGGCAGAGCCAAGCCGCTGCCTACCGCTGATCGAGAGATCTCTGAGCAAACGAAATAAAAGATTTTCCGGTAAAAACCACTAATTGTTCTTTCACAATAATTCTGCGTATTACAAATACAATATTATCTGGAAGCGTGATTATCGCACTGTCGGTCTATCGAGCGGAGTCATCCACTAGGTGAAAGGTCTCCGCTTTGTCAATTCCCATCACTTAATTCTATTAATAGACGTGTTCTAGTTTTGTGTACTTGAACTTTTGAGGCAAATTTTTGTGGGGCACAAAAAGCAGTCGAAAAATTTGTTGATTACTGGTGGTAGGACCTCTTATGAGTCCGTACGGGTAGGTGCCACCGCCCTGCCTATTTCTGCTGTGAAGCAGTAATGCGTTTCGGTTTGAAGGGTGGGGCAGCCGTTGTAACTATACTTGAGACCTTAGAACTTATATCTCAATGTGTGTGACGCATTTACGTTGTAGTTGTCTATGGGCTCCAGTAACCACTTAACACCAGGTGGGCTGTGAGCTCGTCCACCCATCTAAGCAATAAAAAATAAATAAAAAAGATTAAACTTTCGTTGAAATTGTCCATTAGTTTTAAGACTGAGGAACAAAAGATTTGAATTTGAAGTTGGGTCCTTATATTTTTTTAGCGGAGCTCATTACAGCTCTTGGATGAAACCATAGACTTCGAGTTATGTGATCGAAATTATATTGTGTATCGCGTATTTCACCATTCAATCCGGATACTAGAACGCAGGACGGAATCTAGCAGGATGGAGTGTATTCTAATGGGCCTATAAAACACTATACTATCGATTATCACGCATAGTTGGTATAAATGGGGCTCTGAATTCGTCTCTGCTCATTTAGAAAATTAATTGAAGTCGTCGTGTCCTAAACGATAAGACGTCCAGTGCATTCGTATCTAGCGATGCAAAGGTGTTCGAATCCCATCGACAGGTACTAATTTTTCTAATGAAATACGTACTTAACAAATGTTCACGATTGACTTCCACGGTGAAGGAATAACATCGTGTAATAAAAATCAAAACCCACAAAATTATAATTTGCGTAATTACTGGTGGTAGGACCTCTTGTGAGTCCGCACGGGTAGGTACTACCACCCTGCCTATTTCTACCGTGAAGCAACAATGCGTTGCGGTTTGAAGGGTGGGGCAATCGTTGTAACTATACTAAGACCTTAGAACTTATATCTTGAGGTGGGTGGCGCATTTACGTTGTAGATTTCCATGGGCTTAATAAACAAAACATTTCAGGGTTCCTTATATTCGCGCTTATAGAGACGAGAATCTTCCCGGGAGGTCAGGTCGGCTTCCACTGCAACGACCCGGCACTGTCGCATCCGTACACAGGCGATACTATCAGCTGGAAGCTACTGCTGGCCACGGTCATAATTCTACCACTCGTTGTTGTAAGTGCGTTAGGCTGTTACTAATTCATCACGTCCCGAGACCAGAACCATAAGGATGTATTTTTGAGCATCAAACAACCGCTTTTCACACATAAATGAAACCATTAGGTTTTGGCCTTAATAAGATAGTCAAAGTTTCAACTCAATCGTAGAAAACGACTTCCAAATGCATGCAATACGGACAAACAAACGGTCACTAATATTAATTTTTAGTGTATTGTGTAATTTGTATAAATGCTCCCAGTGAATATCAGTTTTTTTTTCTAAATGATATAACTTTAAGGAAGTAACGTAACCCGTATGTCATATTCTGTGCCCCTGAAAATCTTTATGCAAAAATTACACACAATTATTACGACGTCAAAGACAAAATTAAACTCACATTGCAGTTTATAATATTAGTATGCTATATCAGTCTAAAACTATAAAAATCGAGTTTATAAAAAAGGTCAGCCAAGTCATAAAAATGAATGAGTTCGCGTCCGGATCATTATAATCTATTGTATAAATTTTATAATAAATACAAACAAACAACAAATTGGAGAGTCTGTAACGTCTTTTTTAGCTTCATACAAAAAAATCACATACCTAATTCTAGTCCGTATGTCCCATTTATTGCCGGGTATAGGACTTCAATTAATAATGCTATAATGCAAATAATATTTAATTAATAATAGGACTAATTTTGTTACGGAATAATGTGCGTTTACAAAATAAATGTAAATCGATTTAATTATGAAGTGTTCTCTTATTCTTAATTATGAATTGTTAGTCATAATCTTTTGGTACCTTTTTCATAGTTTGGTAAATATGAATATGGTTCGAATAAAAAAAAAAGATGAGCGCAGCAGAAATAACACGCGAGATTGTGGTCGTGACCCGTGCGGACTCACAGTACACTTACTAACATTAGAAGTTTTACTAAATCTAATAAATTTTACGGGTTTGCCTTTAAACATCATGTTTATCATAGGACTCTTTGCTATTGTACAGATGTTAATAGTGGAAAGAAAATACCATACTAATAAGAGGATAAAGCCGAAAGACCAAGCGCTATATTGGTACAGAGAGTACCTTTTCGGAGTGCTCCTCAACTTGATAACGATACAGCTGATGAAGAGCATCGTCGGATCCCCTAGACCGCACTTTTTCGACACGTGTAGCCCTAAGGAGGCATTGACTTGTGAGGGGTAAGAAATTATATGTATGAATAATATGTATTATGAACTATAGAAATACGAATGGAGTAATTGTGAATTTTGGAAGCCGTGGTCATTTAATGATTTTTTTATAGCTTTGGTGGGTGGACGAGCTCACGGCCCACCTGGTGTTAAGTGGTAATTGCAGCCCATATACATCTACAACGTAAATGCCGCCACCCACCTCGAGACATGAGTTGTAATATCTCAGTTTTGACAATACAACAGCTGCCCCGCCCTTCTAACTGAAACACATTACTGTTTCACGGCAGAAATAGGCGGGTGGTGGTGCGGACTCATAAAAACTTTTCGGACTTTTATTTTTAATAATACACGATGTTATTCCTTCATCCTGGAAGTCAATCGTGAACATTTGTTAAGTAGGTATTTCATTAGAAAAATTGGTACTTGTGTGATTCACAAAAAATACGCTCATTTACCGGTACCACCGCCCTGCCTATTTCTGCCGTGAAGCAGTAATGCGTTTCGGTGTGAAGGGTGGGGCAGCCGTTGTACTGAACTTCAGACCTTAGAACTAATGTCTCAAAATATCAATGGTAATGTACTGTCCCCACCCTTCCAATTGGAACGCACGATTAATATAATTACTTTTCGGCATTCCATAAGGCTAGACCGCCAGTCAAATGTTTTATTAGCGCGTGTTTCTTTATTTTCAACATGTCAGAAATGACTAAGTCCCTTCTCTGGCTGAGCCCGTGCTCAATTTCTACTTTGGTGACGATAGTAAGGGCTCTTGGTCGCAAGCTATCCATCCATCTGAAAATAAAAAGATAAATCTATCGCCATCATCGTCTCCATCTCTCTATTTTTACTGTCAAGAGCTACGAAACAATTTACTTAGCGATGATACATTAAGTACAATAGAGTAGAACGGGGGATAGGGTGAGAATAAAGACATTCACTTTTAAACTTTCTATTTAAGACGGATTGTTTTGATAACATTGTTGCAACAACATTTCGCTGTCGAGTTACTATCGAGTTTCATTAGTGTTCGCGCGATAATCGAAATTCGACCGTAATAACTGATACTTCAAGATTCATTTTAAGAACTGCGTCTCTCATTTGTTTTTTTTTTTTCTTGTAACCGCGTGATTATTTGTCAATAAAGCTCGTATATACTAAACAAAGATAATTCCCCTAACATGTAGGTAACAAGATCATGAAAATTCTGTAAAATGCCTGTTCATTTATTTATTTATTTATTTATTTAGGTTTTATTTATATTTGCAGGTCCGAATATATAGAAAGCTACACGTGCACGAAAGCTCACTGGCTCAATCAGTCGGATCGTAGCTTTCCTTCAGGACACACGTCTCTAGCTTTTCATGCTGCGATATATTTAGCTGTGAGTCATTACGTCACTAACTAACAGACAAACAGTCGAGATAAATGGAGATTTTTTTTAGTACCGTGCGCTAAAATGATATTCTAGATATGTATCGTGAGGAGGTTTCTCACTCTGGAGCCCTAACCACTGGTGGCTCGTGTCATAGGCACCCCCACCTTAATAAATATCCTGTAAATAATAATAATTGTTGGGTAACGGTCACGCTTTTTCTGACCCCAAACCAGAGTTCTCTGTATTAAGAACCAGACTAATATAATATTATACATACATTTAAATATATACTTATATAGATCACGTACTTTCCGATCTATTAGATCCAACAACACTAGGAGCAGGCTTAGGAACTCCGGTAACCGTATTCGTCGAACTAGGCAAAAAGTTCGACGTGTAACCTAACCCATACATCAGCCCGCTGAGTTTCTCGGCGGATCTTCTCAGCGGGTCGGCATTCCGAATAGGTAGTAGATTCATTCGCGAAACAGCTGCTCTTGAGTTGTTAGGTCTCCTTTGGAGGCGCTCGGGTAGTTGTCAGCAAATTCCAACCCTCCTGGCTGAGCCCTTGCTCGTCCACCTGTCCTGGTGAAACTGGAAAGGCCTCCGGGCCACCTGTAATCCCTAAATCGCAAGGTGATTTATATATACATAGATTTATAAATCAAACAAATCTGTTTGTAACACAAATGTTTGCGCGATGTGGGAATCGAACCTCCGATCTTCGACTCCGCTGTCAAGGGCACTACTGCACCACCAAGTCAACCGGTACATACGAATTGCGCTCACACATAAACTAGCTTAAATTTAAACTTACACAATGTTCTATAAGACTATAATTTGTTTTGCGGGTACTTTAAAATTATTATTTTCCACAGTATTACATATCCAATAGATCGAAAGCAAAATCTGCTTCGATAATAGCGATTCAGTTGGTATTGCTGACGAGCGCGGCTTTCTGCAGCGTGTCCCGGATGAGCGACCACAGACACCACTGGTGGGACGTGGTGGCCGGCGCCGCCATCAGTCTGCCCCTGCTCTGGTACACTGTTAGTAGAATTTTTTTTTATTGCTTAGATGAGTGGACGAGCTCACTGCCCACCTAGTGGTCACTGGAGTCCACGGACATCCACAACGTAAATGCGCCACCCACCTTGAGATCGCTGCCTCCAATGAACACTACTCTAACTAAAAAAATTTAAATTTTCGTTTTTCGCGCAAATCGCTTCACTATGTTAAAAGTATTACAATTAATCATTATTGATGGGGTTCGAAGCAAGAGTAAATCAGCTAGTTACACAAGAAAAAACCATAAATATATCTGCAATAATAAAGATTTTACCAATTTTTTTTGTTTAAACGCTCCTCCTGTAAACCTACGAATTTGGAGTTAGCGTAGTGTTCATTGGAGGCATCGAGATATAAGTTCTAAGGTCTCAGTATAGTTACAACGGCTGCCCCACCCTTCAAACCGAAACGCATTACTGCTTCACGGCAGAAATAGGCAGGGTGGTGGTACCTACCCGCGCGGACTCATAAGAGGTCCTGCCACCAGTAAAATGGTATGTATTTATTGTCTATTTTGTTTTATTTCAGATTAGAAATTTATGCAAAAATTTCGATTGTTCTGTAAGTGATGAGGAAGCCGAGAACCTGAAGAACGGGACCGGTGCTTACGTGAAAACTTAATTTTGCAAATTTTACAAATATATTAATAGTAAGAGCACTTTTTTTTTTAAATCTATACCTACACAATCTGATTTTTTATTTATTTATTGATTATAGATTTGTATTATAACTTAAGATGTTTAGCAATACATATTATTATTTACTTTTTGATGGATATAAAAATGATGGATTTTTGCTAATATTATTTTAATGGTATTATTATACATATTTTTTTATGTTTTAAGTATAAAAGAAACATTTCCAGTTATAATAAGAATACTTAGTTTTTATACACGGGTTGGTGTTTTAAAATGGGCCAAGTGTTCGGATGATAGAATTAATTGAAAGCTCAGAAAGCTTGGACTCAAGTAAATTTGATGTTGACACGTTTAAGTATATTTATTAAATGCAGCTTTGTTATCTCGACTATTATAATCAATTGTATGAATAATATAAATTTTGTTAAACTACCCGCGCGCCACCTGTCGTACGTTGAAGGAACTAGGATAGTAACTGTATGAAGCCTCATCAAAATGCGCATATAGAAAAATATACACGGATACAAATATACATACATACATCCATTTTTAACATGGCTCTGCGCACAATAACGCCCCTGACTCTCGGACCGATAGTCGCGGGTTCGATTCCCGGTTCGAGCAAATATATAATTTATCAATTTATATAACGTAGATAATATTTTGGCAACTAAATTTATTATGTAGATTATGTGTACGCGTCGACGGCAATGTTTATAAAATAGAAAGTGACTTGTTTTTTTTTTGTATAATTTATAAAAATGACGACTGCAGTGAAATGGTAAATCAGTAATTATTAATAGTATGTTGTTATTATTATTATATAAAATGCGTTTAATATGATAATAATAATAGTATAAATATAGAAGTAATTGTGAGTTTCGTTTTCAAGCGCAAATAGTTATGTAAATACAAATGATTTGATAGATGTTATATCTATGTATGTATCGAGGGGAGAAAGGAGTGTGGTTTGAGCGACATTTTTGCAACTTTACAGGAGAGCCATAAGTTTCAAATTTGGAGATTATAATAATATCATAAAAAAAGTCATCTATTTGAATGGTGTAAACTTAATTGAAGTTCAATTAAAAAGATCGAGCTGTTGATGCTAATATATATATTAATACGTGAAGCAGAAACTTTGTACCCCTTTTTACGAAAATTGCGCGGACGGAGTAGTATGAAATTTCTCACACTTATAGAGAATATAGAGAAGGAGTGCACAATGCTAATATTTTTTTAAAAATAATGCATAAAAGATACATTAAATCAATAAAGAAAACATTACACACACTGCCATGTATTTGACACACACACATAATGTATATTATCATATAACCTTTGGTCTGTGGTCAAATTGAAAATAGGTTAATATTGTTTATCTTTAATATTATTTATCTATAGTGTAGTCTTGGCGAAATCTGTGATTATAGAAGTATAATAAATAGTCTTTGACAATAGAACCATAATAAAGTTCAAACTTATAATTTTAATTAATTATAGTCGAATTTCGACTACAGAGGGACCAACCACTAGTACCAAATAAAACGCATCTTTAATTACAAAGATAAATGTTGCGTATTAAGCAAAATGTTGCTTTTGAAGTCGTCGTGGCCTAAAGGATAAGACGTCCGGTGCATTCGTATCGAGCGATGCACTGGTGTTCGAATCTCGCTGGCGGGTACCAATTTTTCTAATGAAATACGTACTCAACAAATGTTCACGATTGACTTCTACGGTGAAGGAATAACATCGTGCAATAAAAATCAAACCCGCAAAATTATAATTTGCGTAATTACTGGTGGTAGGACCTCTTGTGAGTCCGCACGGGTAGGTACCACCGCCCCGCCTATTTCTGCCGTGAAGCAGTAATGCGTTTCGGTTTGAAGGGTGGGGCAGCCGTTGTGACTATACTGAGACCTTAGAACTATATCTCAAGGTGTGTGGCGCATTTACGTTGTAGATGTCTATGGGCTCCAGTAACCACTTAACACCAGGTGGGCTGTGAGCTCGTCCACATATCTAAGCAATAAAAAAAAAAAAATTAAACCAAATATCCTTTCATCTCTCGTTAAGCTACTTTTGTCTCATTCTAAAGCTCGGATGTAAAGTGCAGTGCAGGCGAGCGAAGCTGCCCATATGAAATATTTCATTTATTTAATACCTAGTCATTTTTCATTCCATTTTTTATTTAATTTAAAAAGAAAGAGGTGTAATATTATTATTAATTTATTAAGTATGTGGTGGAGAAATCAGTATTTCATTACGGATATTATTGTTTTATTTATATAATAGAGAAAAGCGATAAGTTTTGTATTTTTTGACAGCAATAAAATTTATCACGAATTTGTATATTTTTATTTTTTGTTTTCTAACTATCCTCCTTGTGTCGATAATCCTCAATACCGAGGGTCGTGGCCTCATGAGGCTTTCTTGGGAAAAACCACATGGTGCGTTCCCGCGTCTTTCCACGGCAGTGCTTTTGGAAGAGATTTAGTTCTTCGAGACCGCTGAAGCCTTATTTGGGTTCGACCACCGTCAGACATGCGGCGTTGACTGTTTTGCGGTGGAAAGATCGAATTCCAACTTAATCCTCCTCTTTTCTCATCCGGGATTTGGACCGGCATTGGTAGAGTTATATATTAGGTAACTAACTATAGCGTGTCGAATATTCTCGATGAATCTGTAGGAAAACATGAGTTTGGTTGACTCTGATAGATCGCATAGTCTCCTTATCTTGCTATTACACCGTCAAATATATTTAAATCTAGCGATCCGCCCTCGCTTCGCTTCGGAAACATTAAATTTTATTTAGCGAATTAGTAGCGTCAAAAGACACAATTTGAAGTCGTCGTGACCTAAAGGATAAGACGTCAGGTGCATTCGTATCTAGCGAAGCAACGGTGCTCGAATCCCGCAGGCGGGTACCAATTCTTCTAAGGAAATACGTATTTAACAAATGTTCTCGATTGACTTCCACGGTGAAGGAATAACATCGTATAATAAAAATTAAACCCGCAAAATTATAATTTGCGTAATTACTGGTGGTAGAACGTCTTTTGAGTCCGCGCGGGTAGGTACCACCGCCCTGCCTATTTCTGCCGTGAAGCAGTAATGTCATTATAATAAATGTTTGAATGGTGGGGCAGCCGTTGTAACTATACTGAGATCTTAAAACTTATATCTCAAGGTGGGTGGCGCATTTGCGTCATAGATGTCTATGGGCCCCAGTAACCACCTAACACCAGGCGGGCTGTGAGCTCGTCTACCAATCTAAGCAATAAAAAATAAAAACAACTTTTTTTTATCTTCGAAATTTTGAACTTCCGCAATACTATCTACTTACCGTCTAGTGTTCCCGTTAGAATTCGGAATCCTGATACTCCGATTAATATTAAGTTTGTTGGAAGAACGGAACTTTTTATTTATTTATTTATTACCCTTGTAGGCAGACGAACATACGGTCCACTTGATCGTGAGTGGTTACCGTCGCCCATGGACTTCAGCAATGTCCGGGGCAGAGCCCATCCGCTGCCTACCGTTAAAACAAAGTCAGAACTAAAAGAAATCTTATATCTTCTATACTAATATTATAAAGAGGAAAGATTTATTTGTTTGTTTGTTTCGAATAGGCTCCAAAACTACTGGACCGATTTGAAAAATTTTTTTTCCATTAGAAGCCGACATTGTCCCTGATGAACATAGGCTACTTTTTTTTTATTTTATTTTTTTGGTTTCATGTGTGTTTTAATGTTTCTGAAGCGAAGCGAGGGCGGGTCGCTATCAGAAAATATAATTCGAATAATCCTTCCGAAAGTACTAACGGTTAATGTTTACTCGGCAAAGAGGGCTGTAATATTCCGATATGAAAATTATTTACGACATAATCACGGCTATTAGATAATTATAAGCAATTTCATATCGAGGCAACGTTAGCTTTGTTCCGTAATTATAATTAAAAAGATTCCTTTGTGCAAACAGGAATATCGTATTTAGTATCCTAGTTGACTCTTGAATAGAATGTCAAGTGATTTTTGTCGACTTAATTTTCGCTTAAAACTCAAATATTCAATCTTTGAAGGTCATCTTTGACACGTTCAGGCAAATCGAGCTAACAGGCAGCTAAAAGTAAAATATTTGTTTAATTATGTTTTCATGCTAATTTTGAGTCTGGTATTTAAATTGGCTCGTTCATCAAGAGTAATTTAAAATTAAAAATAAATTGTGATGGTACATTTTTCAATGTAAAAAAAATTTTTTTGCTTATTTTAATTTTAAAACAGGATTTATTAGATTCGATATAAATTGTCGAATTCAAAATTTCAAATTATTCTATTCATATCACCAAATTCAATGTTCAAGTCACGAAAACTATTATAAGTTGAACCTGGTAGGCGTCAGCTTGCGATGTGGCTATTGTTTATTTATGAAGCCCTAAATTCATAATTTACTATCTTTATTATTAACCATCGCATCTCGGTTTGAATAGAAACTACTTTTTAGATTTCAACATTTGCCGCGCTTTAATAAATAATGTTTTAAATAAATTATACTAAAAGTACTATACTGTTGGATAAAATGGAGTATTTCAAATTATTAGTTTACTTTCAGTCACTACAAACATCACTACAAAAGGCTTGTAAGGTCTCTCTGTCAATTAGCATCGGCTTAGAGAATATTATTATGTGTCGGGTTACAAAAATGAAATTTGTTACTTTTCTTATGATAACGATTTGGGCCCGCGTGGTGCTCACAAAGGATGCGAACTTGGTGGATTTTCTGAAAACTTACGTGGATAATGAGAGAAAACCTACAATGGTTGTGTTGACGGGCCTTTGTTGGAAAAAAGGTAGGTTTTTACAAAATTTATCAAATGAAGTAAGTTTTCTAGCAGGTTTATGACTATGTTATTACAATAATTATGACTAGTTAGCTGACCGTGCCTATCCAAACGGCTTGCCTTAAGCCACTATCATCAAATATTTCTTTATAAATTTAAAAGAACAAATTAACATAACCATAGCATAGTTTTAGCTAAGAATTATACAAGACAATAGAAAAAACATCAAAAACTACTTTTCTACGAATTAATAATATACAATTTATGTATATTATTAATTTAGCAATAAATATATACCATCTTTATTGCTCGTAGATCAAGTACTATTGTCATTTAACCTCCTTTACTGCTCTGGGCACTAGTGTTGATTGGTAGGTACTTATAGGTCCCCAAGTTTTGTTTAGCCATTTTTTTAATATTTTTTTATTGCTTAGCTTGGTGGACGAGCTCACAGCCCACCTGGTGCTAAGTGGTTACTGGAGCCCATAGACATCTACAACGTAAATGCGCCATCCACCTTCAGATATAAGTTCTAAGGTCTCAGTATAATTACAACGGCTGCCCCCGCCCTTCGAACCGAAACGCATTACTGCTTCGCGGCAAAAATAGGCGGGGTGGTGGTACCTACTCGTGCGGACTCACAAGAAGTCCTACCACCAGCAATAAAATAAAGAATATTGTCACTTAATTCACAGTGATGCAGCCGATCAAATAAAGTTCCATCAACGATAATACAAGTATATGTTTCTATGAATATATTCTATTGTTTTAGACACGCTGCGTACCCTAGTAGTTGAACTGTCAAAGCTTGGAGCTAGGACATCGAAGCCTCCGTCTATAAAAATACAATCCAAATACCACGTCGTCATGCACAATACATTGTTCCTGAGCGATTTGCATTGTCCCGAAACGGCTGAGGTCATTGAAACTGTAAGGATTATAAATATATTTAAACGAATCAAACTAGTAATTTTAATTAGACACGTTGATCGTTTATACATATATATAAAAATGAATTGCTGTTCGTTAGTCTCGCTAAAACTCGAGAACGGCTGGATCGATTTGGCTAATTTTGGTCTTGAATTATTTGCGGAAGTCCAGAGAAGGTTTAAAAGGTAGATAAATATGAAAATGCTCGGAATTAAATAAAAATAATAATTTTGTTTTTCCTTTGGTGTGTCACCCGCCTATTTCTACTGTGAAGCAGTAGGTAATGCATTTCGGTTTGAAGGGTGGGGCAGCCGTTGTAGCTATACTGAGACTAACTTATATCTCAAGGCGGGTGGCGCATTTACGTTGTAGATGTCTATGGGCTCCGATAACCGCTTAACACATGGTGGGCCGTGAGCTCGTCCACCCAACTAAGCATTAAAAAAAAAACTTTGAATATTGTGTTTGTTTATAGTCCTATAATGGTTTCATTATTTTTTTAAATATCATTGCAGGCTATTCTACATAATCTGTTTCGGTATCCTCTACGGTGGCTTTTGTTGAAAAACATGTCCGAAAACTCTTCTGTCATACTTGAAGACATACCCGCGTTTGCAGACAGCGATTTAGTCTTAGCAGAAATAACAGAGGAACTAGTCGTAATTACTGAATGTAAGATTATAATTCTGAATCACTAAGCAATTAATATTTAAAAAAACACATACAAATGCACACCTAATAAATTGTTAAATACAAAATAGGGTTCGTTATGGCAAGGAGTATGAAACAAAAGAAATTATTGTAAACTAATTAATCTAATATAACACATGTCTGTAAACATCGCCATCTGTTTACTGTACAGCTTACATTAAATAAATGTAATGTAAATACATAGATAATACACATAAACTAGTTAAATAAATAGTCGGTATTAAAACTTACCTACTCATCAATATTTATTATCTGTAATATTGTTATTGTTGAGGCGATTCCTGGGTTGATTGCGGATGAATAATTTTTAGGCACAATGTATTATGAAACTACATTAAGATTTACAGACGACACCTTAGTTGCTCGTAGCCAAAGTTCTATAATTTTTTTTTAAACTCGAATTTAGCACGTATCGTATTGTTAAAATGTGAATCATAGTTATTCATTTTAATTTTTAATTAATAACCAAAAAGTAAAAAACAAGGGAATTTTTCAGTATATTTCATATCTAACTGTCTAATATCTATAATATAAATAATTAATTATAATTTAGATATTAGACAATATGTTATTAATACAGATATTATTATATGTATTAATAAAATAAAATATCTAAAATATATGTAACATAAATATCATGTTCAGATTTTGACATTACAGCCGTTCCGGTAAGTTGGCACAATATTAAATTGTCGAATAATATCTTAATCAACTGCTAAACTGTAAACTATTCGAAAAGTCCGAAAATGATATAAGTAATGACAATAAATAAACAAAAGATTCAACATTAAAATTGTTGCATTAAACACTTCATTTGCCCTCGAATAAGTGGATTGTGATGCATACACTGATAGATTAGTTGCTACTCTACTCCCCGCAATAATGCCTCACGGGAAATCTCAAGCCATGGCATTTGCCGTGAAGCAGTAATGCGTTTCGGTCTGAAGGGTAGGGCAGCCGTTGTAACTAACTATACTGAGATCTTAGAACTTATATCTCAAGGTGGGTGGCGCATTTACGTTGTACATGTCTATAAGCTCCAGTAACCACTTAACACCAGGTGGGCTGTGAGCTCGTCTACCCATCTAAGCAATCAAAAAAAATATGGCTATAAATATAAAGTCAGTGAGTAAACCTAACAATTAGGAAATGTTTTAGTGCACAAACCGAACGAGAACGGCGCGTTGATATCAAAAGATAAAGGTTACTACAACGGAACTATGGTGGACGTTAGGCCCCATCGAGAACTCTTCAAACGGCGCAGAGACGTAATGGGCCGTCCATTGACAATGGCGAATGTTATACAAGACAGCAACAGCACTCGTTACCATCTGCCTAGGGAGGATGCTTTGTAAGATCGAAACCTTTTTTTTTAATATTCCTACCTAAGTCTTGAGAGGCCATTTCAGCGTAGCCTCAACTAGTAAGTGAGCTCACGGGGCTCAAGCCTAACGACATTGCTAACACTAACCCTTGCAAGAGCAGTGCTTCGCAGAATCTACCACAGGATCGGAAACGCGACCCACTAAGAATATCCGGCGAGAAATTTAGTGGGCTGTGTCTGTGGGTTAATTTACTCGTCGAGCTCGATGATAACGATGACCGGCGCTTGAGGTACCTAAAAGCACAATTAGTAGATCGGGAGGATCCGAAATGACGTGTTTTGGGCGAAGTCGACTGTTTACCATTCGGTCCGCAGGATCAGGAATGTAGTTACCAGCGGCCACGATGAGAGGCTTCTCGTGTCGTGCCGCTTTCTCGAAATGACACACTGATGCCGACTGTAGATACTTACTGATGGTCTCCATGTCCACATTTCGGATAAACCATGGGGCTCCGGCGGCTATCCTGCAAAGTTGAAAACACAATTTATGCTACAGTCCCTTCGACTTTGACATACTGGTCTTATAGGCCATAATCTAATCTGTTTTAATTGCGTACCTACTGCAAGTAACCTCAAGGGGTTATACTAGCTTCACCGAATCTGTAAGCGAACCTCATGGGGCTCAGCCTTGGAAACTATGCTAACATCTGCCGGAGCAAGAGCAGTGCTTCGCTGAGTCTACCACCGGATCGGAATCGCGCTAATCTGTCCTTTTAGCTTCTTTAAAGACACAATATTGAACTTAACTTTTTCAATATTTCATCAAGGGAGCTCCAGTACGACGTTATTCCTAAAATCTGCTGGATGACCGCGAAGCTAGCGTTCCAAATGTTAAATGCTACTCCTCGGTACACCTTCAGCTATCGTTGGGGGTATAAAGTTAATGGGCAATGGTCGGGGATGATCAACGATTTGCACACCAGTAAAGCCGATTTGGGTAAGATTTGATTAGTTTTATTGACTGACTCATGATGATTCGATCGATACGACAGTTAATTGTTTACCTCGATCGCACTTAAGACGAATTACGAAGTATACAGCATTATTTTAATTAGTTCATAAATTGGCGGTAAATCAAAAAGAAATTAATTTAAACAAAGCTTAATCCGATACATCACACTTTCAGAATTGAAATAACTTAATCAAAGATTCTTATTTTTTGGTAAATAACAAAAATTTGATTGAAGAATTATCGTTTTTTAGTTTTTCAATTATAATACATACGTACTATAAGTTTAGCGCTTGATCTAAAAGAGACGGAAAGAGTACGTTTGTCTTTTAGACAAAAACAGACTGTTTATTTTTTATAAACTGATAGAATAAAATGTTTATAATTCGTTTAAAGTGTAAAACTCATCTATACTAATATATAAATCTACAGTGGTTTTTACGGATGTTCCGTTATAACTACCGAGCCATGCATACGATTGACTTGAAACTTGGTATCAATGTTTTTTTTTTTTTGCTTAGATGGGTGGACGAGCTCTCAGCCCACCTGGCGTAAAGTGGTTACTGGAGCCCATAGACATCTACAACGTAAATGCGCCACCCACCTTGAGATATAAGTTCTAAGGTCTCAACGGCTGCCCCACCCTTCAAACCGAAACGCATTATTGCTTAACGGCAGAAATAGGCAGGGTGGTGGTACCCACCCGCGCGGACTCACAAGAGGTCCCATCACCAGTGAAAATCAATGTAGAAAATACATGTACCTAATGGATAGGCTATTTATATGAGTGTTGGACTCTCTACACCAGTTGCGGGGGCGTTAATCATGAGAATCTTTATGGGGGTGAGAAATAGTTATTTTAATTTTAAATGCCCAGCGAACCGGACGGGTACAGCTAGTTTTTTTATTTATATTTTTAATTAAGCCACTTCTATTCTAAAGCTGTTATATATTTACAGGTACAAACTGCGTTGTTTCCGACGTCGAGCGTCTTTCAGTGGTCACGTACACAGATATGCTGGCTCCGTTTCGAGTTAGATTCGTTTTCAGACAGCCTCCCTTGCCGTCGGTCGCCAATATATTCTATTTGCCCTTTGCTGGGAGCGTGTGGGCAGCTGTAGCTGTGTGCGCGATGGTTTACACCGTAGCTATGTACTGGGCGAGTAAATGGGAGTTTAATTTAGAGAAGGTGGGTGCTTTTTTTATTACTTAGATGGGTGGACGAGCTCACAGCCCACCTGGTGTTAAGTGGTTACTGGAGCCCATAGACGTCTACAACGTAAATGCGCCACCCACCTTGAGATATAAGTTCTAAGGTCTCAAGTATAGTCACGACGGCTGCCCCACCCTTCAAACCGAAACGCATTACTGCTTCACGGCAGAAATGGGCAGGGCAGTGGTACCTGCCCGCGCGGACTCACAAGAGATCCTACCGCCAGTAGAATTAGTAATTACCGTTAGTGCCCGTTTTTTAATGTTTTCGATAGCGTAAAAGTTAAATCAACTTTTAATGGAGTTTTAAATTAATATATTATTTGATAATAATTTAACATTGACCTCTCACTATTTTCGTGACAGCGAAGTGCGTCTCAGTTCGACGGTACTGTGGGTGATGCGATGTTGCTTACGATGAGTGCACTAAGTCAACAGGGATGCTTTATAGAGCCTAAAAGAGCTCCAGGTTAGTATTAGAAAGAGAGAGAGAGAAGAGAGAAGATAGAGACACATCTATTGATCAGCGTGATGCTAGAACCACACTGCGTTATGCGCTATTCGTTATGTGACTACGCCGTATTTACCAAAATATTTGTCATGCGCGCAAACAACAAACATGCCATCCACACTTCGAATTGGTATAGTAACCGGCAAACATCGTGAGCAAATGACCTTGACTGCGCAGAACCGAATTTTAGATCACTTTGGTGGTGAGGGTGAGGCGCGACGGCAGGGGAAATCGTATCGAGCGCGTTATTGGTAGATCAGTCGAACCTTGCGTCCCGCACCGCGCCTTCGTTCCGCTTGCTCCCAAAAGTACGCTTGCGTACAGCGTCTATCGTTATTAATCGTTAAGTTATATTTTGTTATAATTGCTTGTTGACTTTGTTGCCATTGCTATTTGTTGAGTGTTTGTTGATTTTTTATAAAAAATACACTATGACGCGACAAACTGGTGTAGTATTCAAAAGAAAGGGTAGAAAAATTGTGTACGACGTATATTGCTTCATTATAAAACAAGGGAAGAATGATATTATGGAAAAAGTAAAACAGACTTCGGAAGCAACAAAAACATCAGTGAGTACTGTTAGGTGCATTATTAACGAAGCTAAAGGCTCTGGCTTGCTCATCGTGCTTGGGACTCCGGGTAAGAAAAGATCAGGGAAGAAGAAAGTTACCGGAATGGATAGTTTCGTTCAATCTGTAATAAAAAGATGTANTTTGTATTCCATTGGCAGTCACAAAACTCTTCGGAACGACATCTTAGATAAATAACAGGTTAACTATTAACCTTTATTTAATGCAGGTTTTGAACCGTATTCTTTGAAGGAGACGATTATATTCAAATCAATCTGTATTGACATATCAATAATTTTTTTTTGTCCAAATGCACAGATTGCCACCTTTGATAATAGACGACTCAATTGCAGTCTGTACTACTAATAGTTTATAATAATACCTTATACGGCTGCCATACTCTTCAAATCGAAACGCATTACTGCCTCACGGCATAAAATAGGCAGGGTGGTGGTACCTACCAGTCCGGACTCACAAGAGGTCCTACCACCAGTACCTAATTACGCAAATAATAATTTTGATTTTTGCTTTGATTGTTATTACTTTTGGCTTTGATTTTTATTACACGACGTTATTCCTTCACCGTGGAAGTCAATCGTGAACAATTACATTAAGTATTAGTCTGCACTGAAGCAGTAATGGGTTTCGATGAAGAGTATTTGTTAATTCCATAATCATCAGTGCTTTTAGGTGCCTCAAGCACCGATCGTCGTTCTCGTCGAACCCGTCGCTTGCGACGAAGGGCTCGGCGAGTAAATTAACCCACAGACACAGCCCACTGAGTTTCTCGCCGGATCTTCTCAGTTGGTCGCGTTTCCGATTTGGTGGTAGATACTGCGAAGTACTGCTCTTGCTAGGGTTAGTGTTAGCAACGTCGTCAGGTTAGAGCTCCGTGAGCTCACCTACTCGTTTGGCGAATCTAGAATGACCCCTCCAGGTCACTAGAATATGTAGGAAAAAAAAACGTTCGAAAATACTTGCTTCGGTTCTCTGGCGTGTTTACTGTTTCTACCCAACTATAAGGTTTTAGAATTGATCTGTGCAATTGTAGGGGAATGATACCCCGATTAAGATTTATTGATTATTTTTTTCAAATATAGAGGTGGTGTAGTGTAGGGGAATGATACCCCGCCCCGCTTAGCTTGCTATGCATTTATAGTAATGAGCAACAGACGTGAGTCAGTCAGTGGTCAACGTACAGCGATCCACATGTGCACATATTTTTGAATGATCAGAAAAAAAGTAGGTACTTCGTCAAAAAAAAAAGAATGATCAAACTAAATATCGAAAGTAAATAGTTTACTGGTAGGACATTTTGTGAGTCGGCACGGTTAGATACCACTACCCTGCCTATTTCTGTCGTAAAGCAGTACTGCATTTCGGTTTGAAGGGTGGGGCAGCCGTTGTACTGTAAAAAAAACTGAGACGTTAGAGGCGGCAGTGTGAGTTGCGGCATTTACGTTGTAGATGTCTATGGGCTCCGGTAACCACTTAGCACCAGGTGGGCCGTTAGCTCGTCCACCCATCTAAAAACAACACAAAAAAATACCTACCTATCTTTAACTTTTAATTTGTCGATGTCGCGTTGAANCCATTGGCAGTCACAAAACTCTTCGGAACGACATCTTAGATAAATAACAGGTTAACTATTAACCTTTATTTAATGCAGGTTTTGAACCGTATTCTTTGAAGGAGACGATTATATTCAAATCAATCTGTATTGACATATCAATAATTTTTTTTTGTCCAAATGCACAGATTGCCACCTTTGATAATAGACGACTCAATTGCAGTCTGTACTACTAATAGTTTATAATAATACCTTATACGGCTGCCATACTCTTCAAATCGAAACGCATTACTGCCTCACGGCATAAAATAGGCAGGGTGGTGGTACCTACCAGTCCGGACTCACAAGAGGTCCTACCACCAGTACCTAATTACGCAAATAATAATTTTGATTTTTGCTTTGATTGTTATTACTTTTGGCTTTGATTTTTATTACACGACGTTATTCCTTCACCGTGGAAGTCAATCGTGAACAATTACATTAAGTATTAGTCTGCACTGAAGCAGTAATGGGTTTCGATGAAGAGTATTTGTTAATTCCATAATCATCAGTGCTTTTAGGTGCCTCAAGCACCGATCGTCGTTCTCGTCGAACCCGTCGCTTGCGACGAAGGGCTCGGCGAGTAAATTAACCCACAGACACAGCCCACTGAGTTTCTCGCCGGATCTTCTCAGTTGGTCGCGTTTCCGATTTGGTGGTAGATACTGCGAAGTACTGCTCTTGCTAGGGTTAGTGTTAGCAACGTCGTCAGGTTAGAGCTCCGTGAGCTCACCTACTCGTTTGGCGAATCTAGAATGACCCCTCCAGGTCACTAGAATATGTAGGAAAAAAAAACGTTCGAAAATACTTGCTTCGGTTCTCTGGCGTGTTTACTGTTTCTACCCAACTATAAGGTTTTAGAATTGATCTGTGCAATTGTAGGGGAATGATACCCCGATTAAGATTTATTGATTATTTTTTTCAAATATAGAGGTGGTGTAGTGTAGGGGAATGATACCCCGCCCCGCTTAGCTTGCTATGCATTTATAGTAATGAGCAACAGACGTGAGTCAGTCAGTGGTCAACGTACAGCGATCCACATGTGCACATATTTTTGAATGATCAGAAAAAAAGTAGGTACTTCGTCAAAAAAAAAAGAATGATCAAACTAAATATCGAAAGTAAATAGTTTACTGGTAGGACATTTTGTGAGTCGGCACGGTTAGATACCACTACCCTGCCTATTTCTGTCGTAAAGCAGTACTGCATTTCGGTTTGAAGGGTGGGGCAGCCGTTGTACTGTAAAAAAAACTGAGACGTTAGAGGCGGCAGTGTGAGTTGCGGCATTTACGTTGTAGATGTCTATGGGCTCCGGTAACCACTTAGCACCAGGTGGGCCGTTAGCTCGTCCACCCATCTAAAAACAACACAAAAAAATACCTACCTATCTTTAACTTTTAATTTGTCGATGTCGCGTTGAATTCAGCTTAGACGCATTACTTTTATCTCACAGTTGAAAATTCGGTGTGTCTGAGTTAACTGTTATTGCATAGCATGACTTCCTTTGCTGTTATATGGAAAATAAACTTTTTTAGTTATACAAGGATCCGGTGCGAGTGATGATACACAAACGCATCGATCCGGAGACCGGAAACGGTCAGTTCTACAGTCTCGAAGACGGAGTGGATATGATTAGGCAGGTAACGTCAATATGAGTACAATATGCACGTTGTATAAACGAATCCCGGTCACCGTCCTCGTCGAACCCGTCGCTTGCGGGCTCGACGAGCGAATTAACCCACAGACACAACCCACTGAGTTTTTCGCCGGATCTTCTCAGTGGGTCGCGTTTCCGATCCGGTGGTAGATTCTGCGAAGCACTGTTTCTGCTAGGGTCAGTGTTAGCAACTCTCCGGTTTGAGCACAGCATAGGTAGGAAAAAAAAAAACGAATCACGTTCGGAAATTGGTCGTTTTATCTTGCTGAGTTTTTCACCATCTTCTCAGTGGGTCGCGATTCGGATCCGGTGGTAAATTTTAATAAATAATGAAGCTTCATTTCTTGTCTCGATCCGTTGTGAGAATTAATCATTCGTGCATCTCATAGGACGGCTTAAAGGTGGCAACTAAGCGTGTTTTCACAACTACTTGTACTTAGTATCTACTTGGTAATCTGTGAGCGATATTGCTATTATATCATTGGGATCCTCGTGAACCGCAATAGGTCGTCGGTCCACCTTTTCTCGTCGAACCCGTCGCCTGTGACGAAGGGTTTAGCGAGTAAACTAACCCATAGACACAGCCCAGAGTTTCTCGTCGTATCTTCTCAGTGGGTCGCGATTCAGATCCGGTGGTAAATTCAGCGAAGCATTACTAATGCTAAGGCAATTGTTAACAAATTCTCTCAGTTGAGCCCGTGAGCTCACCTATCCGTCCGCGAAAAGCTAGAATAGCCCCTTAGGGCTACCAACGAATAGGTTGGGAAAAAGCCATATTCATTCTTGAAATTAATTCTCGGTAGGCAGCAGCTTGGCTCTGGCCCTGGCATTGCTGAAGTCCATGGGCGACAGCAACCACCCACTCAGGTGGGCCGTATGCTCTCATCTGCCTATTTATTTATTTCATTTACTTTTTTACGATTTTGCATCCATATTACATTCATTAATATTTCATATCGTATACCAGAATTAAATAAAAATAAAAACCACAATCTCGGAATAAAATAAAAGCAATAATAATAATAATAATAATAAAACAAAAACTCAAAATTAAATAAGGGCAATAAAAAATAAATAACAAATTTCAATCTGCTATCCAACCCTACCAACTCTAGGCAGGACGTTTACTCAAAGGCGCATTTACGAACATGCTACGAGAAATGCTGTAAGATTATTCTTCGCCGTACTCATTTTTAAGGGTTTCTTCGCGTTCCACTCGATCGTGGAGCCGGTGTACCGACGCATCGAAGAAACGTTTCTGGAGACAGAGAAATGCGACCTCACAGAGGTTGACTTCCTGAGCAGTTTCGATCCCTTCGTTCCAGTTAAGAAAGACTCTCCTTATCTAGAACTACTCAGAGTCGTGTGAGTGTTCGTTGATTTTATTTTATTTTTTATTGCTTGGATGAGTGGACTAGCTCACAGCCCACCTGATGTTAAGTGGTTAATGGAGCCCATAGACACCTACAACGTAAATGCGCCACGCACCTTGAGATATAAGTTCTAAGGTCTCAGTATAGTCACAACGGCAGCCCCACCCTTCAAACCGAAACGCATTACTGCTTCACGGCTGAAATAGGCAGTATCTTTATTAAGTGTCTTATTGAGGAGTTGGATATCATGGTTACCGATGAACGTAATATCTCGACATCCAATGGTTTAGCTAAATCTCAATTTGATTCAATTAGCGTTCAAATGACAGCGCTGTGATGCGATAAGCACTCGCCATCAGGTGGCAAAAGCCCTCGTCTGCCTAATAAGGACAATAAAGAAATCATTCAAAGCATGGGAACTTTACGGCCGTAATAAAAGTCTGTTGCCTACCAGTTGCGAACATACAGTTGCCTACCGAAATATTATAGGTACTATCATAAAATATCCTAAATTATTGTTTTAATGCAATGAAAGAAGGGTGCCTTAAACTTGGCATCCCTACGTATCCAAACGTGTCTGTAAGTGGATACCGAAGCGCATAGATATAACCGCCACCACCCAATTTGAATAATGGGATCTAAATTTCAGTTGTATAGTATAAACTTGCGTCTTGTGAGTCCACACGGATAGGTACCACCACCCCGCCTTTTTTTGCCGTGAAGCAGTAATGCGTTACGTTGCGTTACAGTTTGAAGGTTGGGGCAGCTGTTATACTGTAAAATGTGACCTTAGAACTATATCTCAAGGTAGGTGGCGACATTTACGTTTTAGATATCACCATATCACACCAGGTGGGCCGTGAGCTCGTCCACCCATTTAAGAAAATAATTAACATAATAAAAAGAAAAAAGTTTAAATTCGTTGTAGCTTCAAGCAAATCCGCGAGTCTGGTATCCAGTCGGCACTAAACAAGAGGTACCAAGTACCGAAGCCTCGTTGCTCTAACAAAGTGGCGGCCTTCAGCAGCGTCGGCATCGTCGACTTGAGACCTGTTCTTATACTGATGGTCTACGGAATAATATCGTCCTGTTTAATACTCATTATGGAGATGATCGTGTTTAAAATGTAAGTACTTGTCTGTATTGACATTTGACCCGCTGAGTTTCTGGCCGGATCTTAGTGGGTTGCGTTTCCGACCCGGTGGTAGATTCTGCGAAGCACTGCTCTCGCTAGGGCTAGAACCCGTGAGCTCAACTACCTGCCAGCAAGAAGCTGGAGCGGTACCTTAGACTACCAGCGAATAGGTAGAAAAATAAAGCACGGTTGGCGCGAGTCTGAAGAAAATCAATATTTAAATGAGTGAAATTACGATTAAATAATTGTTTACGCAAAGCAAGAATTCATTATCTACCTAGTCAGGTCATAAATTCTGTCACATGTTTAATGTAAAATAATTGAAACAAGTTTATTCATTATGTAACCATTCATATACCAAAATGAACTTAACAAAACATAGATTCTTATGACACTAAAGTTTATTCAAAATGACCTCCGTGATTTTGAATACAGGCCTTCAATCTGCGCGGCCAGTCGTCTATCGCAGCACGAACGAGGTCCATGTCAATATCGGCGGCTGCCTTAATCAAGGATGTCTTGAGTGACTCCAAATTGGGATGAGGCTTTGAGCACGCCTTTTCCTCCAAGTGTTGCCATATCTTGTAATCTAA